AAGTTGGATTTTCCACAGTTGTTAAACGAGACGAATCACCAGTTTGAACCTGAACGTCCATATAAACTCATACTTAAAAACAAAAAATCAACATAAATACAATCATATAAAAACAAATTACCGAATCACTATTCGCATCATCATTGATCACTAACATATCATTTTCGAAATGGTCAAGCATTGAAGAGAATTCTGAATTTTCACTTTTTCACTTGATGTATAAATGTCGGCAAACATTGCACACCTTTTGATCGTTAGAAATAGAAAGTGATTTAAGAGTACGAATCGACATAAACATTCTGAGGTATGGTGATTTCAGTGGTCGGACACAAGAACTGTAGTCAAGACGAGCACCACACGGAAAACAACGTTCACTCATTATAATCGTTTGTATATTAAACGTTCACAATAGGGATACGCATTAAGACAGTGACCTTAGATGAAATGTCTGACTTAGTTCTCGATTAGTTCATATATGACCGGATCACTAAACATTACTATATAATGAAATGCATCATGAAAATTTTTCTTTCTACGATGTATGACTCACTTAGTAGAGCGAAACACTATACAGCGGATAGTGCATACATCTCGTAATAAAGTAATGTTTTCAACAAATGTCTTTCAATTGAAAAATAACGTATGCTGCATAAAAAGATATATCCCTTTATTCATCTATGCTACTAACAACAATATAGGTAAATACAAATTACAATATCGAATCAACGACAAAGAAACGCCGAACACAAAATTCACACAAAAAGGCGGAACCGCCTTTCAGCATACTTTTCGTATATTTTTTATCATCATTTGATAGATCTCGAAATTCTCTGTCGAATGATACGTAAATGAGCGTGGACCGACATTATTACCTGAGTCTTTCGCGAGAAATATCATCAGCGGTATTCATCTTTACTAGATCTTTTGTATGATATGCCGACGGTGTCAAATTGAATTCAGTAGGTTTTCTCATATGTTGTCATACCATCAGAGAGAGTGTGAAAAGGGCTACAATCCGACGGGTAGATTAAAATAAGTATCAACTATGATAACCGAAATATTTTATTAAAATGATCGGCTCCTCAGAGGAAATACAGTGGGTTTTAATGGAATAGAAAAAGTAATGCAGATGATGTCTAGATTCGATATAATGATTAAATGTGGCTTAAAATGTCGATGTAGCGTCAAAACTAGCATAATAAAAACGAAAAAGTCGTGTTTGGACTGGGGGCCGATTTCGGCTGTTAACGTCCCGCGTCCTTACAGCACTTATTATTTTTTGCTTAAATATACATCAATAGATTCGGTATTTCAAGCTGATCACGAATATCTACTTACTTTTTCGATTCGAGAAAATCTTCATGGAGAAAACGGCAAAAAACTGAGAGGGTGTAAAAATCAGCAAAAAAATTGCTTTTTGGGAAACAA